GGGAACCCGGCGACCAGCGCCAAGAGCGAGCTTAACTCCACGTGCTCGAAGATCATGCGGCGCGTCATGGAGAAAGGAGACGTGATGTACGAGACGCACACCGTGGAGGGCGGCTACCAGTCCACGGTCATCGTTTATGTTGGGGGGCAGCCTGTCCTGCCCACGTGCCAGTGGCCAGCCCAGCGGGCGACCAGAGAGCATCCTCCAGGGGCATCGACAGGGGTGGGACTTCATCCGGGTGGGAAGCGTCGACCCCCACTCGCGCATCCATTGCCGATATAGGGGCCCGACAGCCCACCCCGCCCAGGATCGTGCGGTTTCATTACCGGGCCTATCCGCCAGTCTTTCGGCGCGGTGTCGCTGAATGAAGCTCGATGTTTCCCCCCGTGAGCCTCAGCTGGCCCCCCAATCCTCTGCCGCCGCACCCCCACTCTTGCTGTCTCTTGGCTTGCTGACGGGCTCGTGGCGGCCGTCGGGGGGGGGTGGCTCCTCGGGCCCAGGCCCGTCTCGAGCGCCTCTCTTTCTCCGTGGCAGGTCTCTGCCGTCCTGGGGCAGTCAAGGGCAGTCCTGGGCCAGCGCCAGGGTGGCGTCGGGTTTGGGACCCTGCTGGGCCACCCTGAAACCTCTCTCCCCTCGTCCTTCTCTCTCTCTCTCTTTATGCGTGATGCCTTTCACTGTCCTGGTCTACTTCCCGTCCCGCTGCCTCCCACATCCATTTTGCCTTGCGCTCATTTTGCAGAGCTGGTGAATTTCCCAGTCAGCTTACATGCTTGGCGCTACGGCGCCCCCTCTTCTCCGTCCCTACGTAGGTGGATTTCGCTCTGGTGCGCACGCGAGCGTGCGTCCGTCCGTCTCCCTATGTCCCTCCTTCATCCCTCGTCTCCTCCACCAGGTGGCACGTTGCACGCACCAGTCCAGAGCTCACTCAGTGCCCGAGACAGGACACGTACACACAAACGACGGGAGGGGGGCTAACGAAAGCGAGGAGGGAGGCAATCGATCCGCCTGTTTCATCTTTCTCAGCAGAAGGCATGGCCTTAGAGCACGCAGTTGTTTCGACATCCGGGCTGATCCATCGGAGTTTCACGGCAAAGCACAGCAGGGTTCAGCGCAATTTTTCACCACCCACCAGACCACTCAAATCCAACCTGGAGGCCCCAATTTGCCTCCAATTCCCAGTGGTGGGAGGCGCCGGGGAACATTGGAAAACCACATCTGGAACCCGCACCCCCCCTAACCCGAAATTTGGGTCTCCGGGTTAGGTTGGGGTGGTCTGGCAGGTAGTTATTTTCACGTTTGTATGGAGTCCTGCCGCGGTGTGGCTAGAGGCGTACCCAAGAACATACTAATAATCATGATGGTAAGTGTTTCAATAACACGAATACCAAGGAAAACGCACACAAGAAGGCGAGCAGTAGTGCATCTCGCAGTACTGTGAACAGGAATGCGAGCAGACATATCCCGAAGCCCTCCCCGCCCCCCGCGAGCCCTGGCCGCCTCCTGGACCCTCCGCTCAGGAGCGAATGAAGGACGTACACGCACACGAATCCACGCCAGTTTCGAGAGCACGCGTTGCGCAAACAGTCGTACGACGCGGCCAGTCTCGCAGATCGAGGGACCGTGTTCATGTATATAGAGCCGGGGCCCTGAAGAAGGAACCCTTTTCGTTGGGGAGGGGCTCGGTGTCCCTTGATTGTTCGACAGTTTGCCTTTGCTTTTCCCGAGGCTTTCCACGGGAAATCGAAGTTCAACTTATGGGAGGAAGGGGCCCCGGTCTTGTTTAGGGTTCCTTAGGTCCACGCCCCGACTGTACTCGACGCTCTGGAGCAGACGCCTCCTCGTCCTGGCCCCGAGGCCCGGGAAGGGCCCCCAGAGGCCGAAAATGGTTGAAAGCCTCCCGCCGTGTCGTCTTCACAGCGCGAGGAGGAGGAGGAGGAGGAGGAGGAGGAGGAGGAGGAGAAAGGGCCCCGTTCCTTACTTTATTTAGGGTTCCTTAGGTCAACGCCCCGACTGCAGCTGGGCGCGCACGTCCTCCGTGGGCTCCCTAACCCGCTGCTCCCGCCGGCGCCCCCCCACCGTCCCCGAGGTCACCATGCCGAAGCTGCCCAACGAGTGGGGCCAGCAGGCGCTCCCTGGCCCTCCTCCTCCTCCTCCTCCTCCTCCTCCTCCTCCTCCTCCTCTCCTCCTCCTCCTCCTCCTCCTCCTCCTCCTCCTCCTCCTACTGCCGTTTCTGCCGTTTCTCGCTCAGCCAGCGTCTTCTCATGCGCCCGCGTCGCGGAGCGCGCCGCAGCAGCCCACGAGGGCCGTGCGGGCACTCAGACGGCGGCCCCGGGAACCCGACCCCGAGGAAGAGAGAGGACCAGGGACCAATGAATACCTCGGAGGAGGGGAGAGGGGCCGGGTTTTTCAAAAAAAAAAGGAGGCTCGACAGGGCCCTTGGGCGGGCGCCGCCCGCGCCCGCGCCCGCGGGCGTCAGGCAGCACGGCACGGCGCGCGGCCAGGCCGTCGGCCTCTTCGTGGGCCGCCGGCCGCACGGCGGCGGCTGGGTTCCCTTCGGCGCGGAGCGCTGAGCCCAGCCGCCGTGGAGGGCGGCTCCTAGGGACAGGCTGCCCCCCGCCTTGGCGACCTCCACCCTTCGGCGCCGCGCGCTGTGGAGGCTCGCCGAGCCGCTCGTGGGCTCCAGCTGGCCTGCACTGGCGGCCGCTCTTTCCAGCTCCTGCCGACACTGGCCGGCTGGCCTCGGCCCCTCGCATGCCACGCGAGGGCGACGGGGATACACCCTTCGGCGCCCTGCGCTGTGTATCCCGCGTCGCGGGGCAGGCTGCCCCTTCTTCACTCTGCTGGACTCTGTAGTTCTCGAACCTGTGGTACTGCTTGACTCTGTAGTGCGCGAACCTGTGGTACTCGACCCAGTCGTGCTGGTCAAGTGGTACTGCTTGACTCTGCGGTGCTCGAAACTGTGCTGCTCGCTACAGACGTGCTGGTCAACGTGGTACGGCTTGGCTCCGTGGTTCACGAGCTGTGGTACTCGACTCAATCATGATGGTCGTCGTAGTACTGCATGAAACTGTGGTGCCAAGCCTGTGGTACTCGACCCAGTCGCGTTGGTTGATGTGGTAGTGCTTGACTCGGTGGTCCTCGATCCTGTGGTACTCGACTCAGCCGTGCTGGTCGAGGTTGATGGCGGGTGGTGGTGGTGGAGTGGATGGTCGGTTGGGGGGATCCCCAGCCCTTGTAGTTGCTTGTCGTGCGTGCTGGTTGGTGGGTCGTTGGGAGGTCGGCTTGTTGCTGGTGTTGTGGTATGGGTCGTGGGCGCACTCATGAGGCCTCCATGCACCGACTTCAAGTGGGGTTCGTGGCGGCCCCACCTCGTCCCGCTATGGCTAGGGGTCACAGTGCCCTCGGTGGGGGCGAACCCCAGGCCTGGTGCATACTTCTGTCGGTGTGGGATGTCTCGGCTGCCCTGCGCTTCGCCTATTGGGCGCTCGGGTAGCTCCTCCTCCGCCATGGAGATGGTGGGGGTGGCGAGCTAGGGCGGACCGCGGGGGCGCAGGTAGTGGACGTCCTACCCCCCCCTGCCCCTCACCATCCCCCCTGGTAGGCGCGGGTAGTACTCGTCCTGCCCCCCCACCCTTCGAGCCCGTCTCGAAGTTTGATCCATGCCTCACCAGGGCAGCGTTGACTTGTAAAGAGGTGTGGTGGGCCATACAAGGGTTGCGAGTGGTGGTCGATCGGTGGTGCAGCATGGTCGTAGAGGTCGAATACCGTCTGGCCTGCTGGTAACCACTGAGTTGTATACGTACGATCGCTGCCTGAGTCCATACAGCAAAACGTAGCGACTTGTGCCTGGGGTGTTCCCACGCATTCGGGGCTTCCCCAGGACTTGCGTCCTAACGCCTCATGCAAAACTTGGCGACGTTGCCTGAGGTGTTCCAACGCATTCGGGGTTTCCTCAGGACTTGAGTCCTGACGCCTTAGTGCTTGTCGTCGAGGACGTCTTCGCCGCGGACAGCCCTATGGTACTCGACATGGTCGTGCTCGAACCTGTGGTACTCGACATAGTCGTGCTGGTACAAGTGGCCGTGCTTGACTCTGTGGCGCCCGCGCCTGTGGTGTTCGGCACAGTCATACTGGTCAGCATGGTAGTGCTTGGCTCCGTGGTACACGGACCTATGGTACTCGGCTCCGTCGTGCTGGTCAACGTAGCACTGCTTGCACTGCTGGACTCTATGGTGCACAAGCCTGTGGTGCTCGAATCATTCTTGCTGGTCGTCTGCCAAGAAACAACAACATACCATACAATGATAGACTTGACGCTTTGCAATCTTTTGCCCAGAGAGGATAAATACTCGCATCAGAATCATTACCAGAACAAATGCATAATCGAACCAATAAAAATACTCGAGGGGAGGCACGCTCCGTCGCCTTTGAGGGATCGTGCCCACCCGTATGGGCGCTACGGGTCCCCCCCCTCGAGAATGGCAAGCCATCGAAGTCCACGAAAACCCATGCTCGAATATTCACTCAGTCGTGCTGGTCACGCAAAATACTCAGACAGTAAAGTCAGTAAAATACGCAGTCCCTCCATCACTCAGTCGGTAAAATATTGCAAAATAGTATATCCACTCAGTTCACTGGTCGTACTGCAAAATCTGTAATACTGCAAAATAGTAGTCCACTCACGACTCAGTTGTGCAGGACAACGTGATACTGCCTGAACCTGTGGGCCCGAACCTGTGGTGCTCGACCCAGTCGTGCTGGTCGACGTAGTGCTGCGCGAATCTGTGGTGCTCGAAACTTATGGTACTGGTCTTGTGCTGGTCGGTGAGGCATGTCGGCAAGGCACAAGGCGGGGTGGGAGGCCAGAATGGGGCATGGTCGGGTGGGGGGGTGAGTTGCTGCTAGCGGCGGTGGCTGCCCCAAGCCCTGTGACAGTCGTGCCCCAGCTGTTCTGGCTCTGTGTAATGGTCCAGTGGCGCGTAGAAGCTGTGGTAGTACTCGTCTGTCTTGGCCCACAGTGCTTCGTCGTCTGCGAGCTGCCCCCAGTGGGCTGCGAGGGCTGCCATTGCCTTGCACAACCTCGCAGGATATTCTTTGAGAGGGGCGGTCCTCCAGCCGCCCTGCCCGTCGCGTCCGTAAGCGCGGTCGTGTCCACGATGTCGGCACAGTTGACCAGCGGGCACTGCTCCGAGCTCTTGCGTGAGTTCACTGAGGTGTGCCGCCAGCAGACACGTTGGCTTTCGCGCGGCCTGCCCAAACTGGCACTGGTCGATGTAGTGTAGCTGGACATTCGTCTGCTCCAACAGCCACAGAGTCTCCGCTCGATGCCAGCTACTCGGCGCTTGAGGACGCCAGGTAGCTGGGGCTGGATGTTCGAGTATCGCAGAAACGTTGTACTGCAAACCCGTGGTGATGAGCAGTAAGGCTGTCCTGTAGAGTTCGTTGGCCAGTGCTAGCTGCTGGAGTTCCGTTTGGTTGGCTGCTTGTATGCCCCAGGGGAAGTCGTGGGTGCGTAGTGGGCGTGGGGCGTTGCCTTCAGTGGCGCGCCAACGTGCCGAGCACCGCGTCTCGCACGGAGGGCCGGCTACGATGCCAAAGATTTTGCCCTGACGTATCGCCGCACACCAAAAGGCAATCGCGTCTGGCTTGGTCAGGTCGCCTTTGTCTGGGTCGATCTGTACACCGATTGATAACGCTATCAAATTGCATTCCCGAATGTGCATCTCGAAATGGTGCTGGAAATCCTCCACTCGGCGTCTTCCAGAGAAGAGGTGTAGCAAGAACATGGTCGTGGTGACCATGGGCCTGCGCGGTGCAAAGATCCTTGTTGATGGCGTCTCCGCTTGAAGAGTCACTGCTGCGGGCGGCGCAGGCGAGAGCTGGAGCTGGTGTTGGTCGATGTGGTCGGCGAGCTTGATGTGGATGATCTGCTGCGCAGGCACTAGCGCCTTAGTGGCTGCGTGGCCCATCGTTTTTCTCGTCGCCACCGCTTCGCGTTCTTCATCGCGTCGATCGGCTGCCTCCTGTAGATCCATTGGGACTTCAATTGCTTGGAGAACTGCGAGGCACCTGGGGCATCTTCTCAGGTGCTTGAGTATGCGCGAGCGCGTCATGAAGTCCTCCCCGCACCCAGGGCATGTTGTCGAACGGGCGAGTAGTTCAGGAAGGTCAAAGCCGATGTGCTCCATGGTGCGGTGGCGCTTCCAGGCTCCTCGTGTTTTCAGGACCTTGCCGCACTCGTAGCAGATGTAACCGCTGTGTTGTGTAGGTGGTCGTCCGTCAAAGTTGGGAGTGGTGAGTCCGAAGTCTTGCGCGAGCCGATGTAGCTGTCGTTGCCAGAGCCGATGTCGGTATACGTCGTGCTGCCAGGACTTGTACCTAAGCCAGGCGCGCGTGACCATGGCTTGTGCGGAATGCTCGTGTTGTGCTCGTACCCATCGTACAAAATCCCTGATGTCGCTGCCAGGGTCCTCGTCGTCCAGCAGGAAGCGTTTGATCCAATCCAGGTCTTCGACGATAAGCGCGTTCCAGGCCTTGCTGTCCGCCCAAAGCTCGTCGATGAGTCGGTGGAGGAATGGCGTATCCGCATGCAGCATTCTGATGAAGTGCAGCAGACGGCGTCGTCGCAGGGACATGTGGAGCGGGACTTCATCGCAGAGTAGGTAGATCTCGTCGTCCAGGGTGTGCAGGTGTCCCGCCCCCAGGTCGCTGTTGTCGTGCCGCAGCTCGGAGACTCGCCATATGACGGCTCTGCAGCATATGCTTCTTTTGTACTGTCAATGTCCCCCATATTTCGCAGTCGTAGGTCAACTTGCTCTGCGCCAGTGCCGTGAGGTACTGCATCTTGGCTTTGAGGTCGATGTGCGGAAGTCGGTAGATGGATTTCTTCAGGGGGCCCTCCGCAGATCTGTGATCGATGATGCGTCGCATTAGGTTTGGCCCTTCGCTGCCGTCGCTTGTTACTACGTTGCCCAATGTGAGTCCCTGGGTCGTGACTTCAGCTGTGGTAGCGTCGATGCTGGTCAGCGGTTGGCCCTCCTCGCGGTGCAGCGTAACAGGGTTGGTCTGGAAGATCTTCGCCTTGATGTGCTGCTTGGCGTGTCCGTCGATTTGTTGCAGGTCTTC